CATACCTTTTCACTTACAGGAGGCTTTTTTTTTTTTTTAAGATTTTATTGGGGAATTGGCAAGGGGGGAACAGACAAATGGGGGAGGGGAACAACGTTGGGAAATCGGGGAAGGGGAACAGACAAGTTGCTGTCCTTTTGTTCTTCAGTCTAGTTGTGGAGGACGTCGATTCACTGGCCCAGGTTGGTATCATGATCATTGCGCTCCTCCCAGATGAGGCAGTCGGTCGCTGGCCATTGGACGGCAGCTTATGGCAGACCACTGCAGCCCTGCTGCAGCCAATGCTGTCACCGGCGACTCACAGCAGCCCAGCTCCAGGTTGAGCTGTTGTTCACCATCTTAGCTGTAGAGGGCGCAGCGTCACTGACCCCCATGTGGGATACGAACCAGTGGCGCTGCTGCTCAGAGCTAGGGCTCCCAAGCCAACTTTTAACCAATGCGCCACTCAGCTGGCCCAAAAGGAGGCATTTTACGACTTCTCTTTGTCATCTCAGAATCACCAGAATCACTACTCTTGCACTTTGGGACCATTCTTATGTAGAATAAGAGTTACATGAACACAAGCACTGCCAGCAGTGTATCTGGTAACCCAGACAGCTACTAAGTGACTAATGGGTAGCATATACAGTGTAGATGCTGGGCAAAAAGGGATGATTCACCAGGTGGGATGGTGTATGATTTCATCACACTATTCAGAATAGCATGCAATTTAAAATTTATGAATTATTTCTGAAATTTTCCATTTAATATATTCAGACCACAGAAAGGGAAACCATGGGTGGGGGGGGGGGCGGAGGGGCTGCTGTATTTCCTAGTAGGCTGGTTTAGTGTCAGAATAAATGAGTGCTATGTCGTCTGGCATGACATCATTTGTGAACCTATATTGGTTTCTACATACAGGACTCCCTGTGATACCAAAATCTGAGGATGCTCAAGTCCCATATATAAAGTGGCACAGTATTGGCATATAACCTGTGCACATCCTCCCCATGTTTTAAATCGTCTCTAGATTACTTATAATACCTAATGTAGCCATGTGCCATATAACAACTTTTTTTTAATGTAGCTTTCACTTTATTTTATATTTTGTTTCTTAGCCATTGCAGAGTACATTGAATTGAGAATCTAGGGAATGGTACATATAAACACATTTTTAGGTGTTACAACCAGGGAGTTAAGATACAAATTGAGGTCTATGGTTGCTGCCTTTCAAACATTAAGTCTTTTGTCAGTATACAAAACCAGTTGTACAAAATCCCTGTCAGGAGAAATTAGCAACGTCCCAATCTGGCTAGTGGGAGCTGGCCAGTCCGAGGGAGCAGGGCTGATGGGGCGGGCTGGAAAATTCAGGATCTACTGTCGAACAGCAGCCTGGGGAAAGTCAAATGATTATTAGTGTCTTCAAAAAAAACCCTCGTTTCTGAAACCAGCTCCTTGGATGCTTTTCTCAAACGGTCCATGTAACAACTTGTCAGGTAATGATGGATAGACTGCATTTGCAACAGTGGACTCTAACTTTATAATGGAGCTGGGAAATCCCTGTCGCCTAGTGGTGTAACTGTCACAGTGTCTTAGCATGCAAGTTACAAAAATCAACAAGACTGGTTGAGATGGCCAAGAACTTGAACCTGGGTGTGGATGAAGATGATGCTGAGCAGCCCCTAAATATGTATGGTTCCTGAGAAATTGACTGAGTGTTGGAACAGGAATGCATAACAGAATAGGCAAGAGAAAAGAAACTTGCAGTGGGAAAAAGAGAACTCCCAAGAAAATACAGTGAAGGGTTTAGCAGAAGCTTTTGCAGACCTCAACAAGCTCCTTTAAAAGTTTGAAAACATGGAACCCCCTCCCCCCCCAACACCGAAAGGTTTTCATTAATAGAGAAAAATGTTCATTGTGCATTGTCTGCTTACAAGCAACTATGATGAAAAAAAGAAAACAACCCACATATTTCTGAAAAAATGACAACCTCCTCAAGAGCCTCAGGCAGGTCCTTCAGAAGGTATTCCATAAGAAAGCATTGTTATCATGAGATGACAGCTCCATGGGGTGTTATTGCCCATGAAGACCTTTAAAAACAGGAAAGCTTACAGAATGCAATATAAAGAAAATTTTTGTACAGTTGTACAAGTTTTTTGTGTTTTAAGTGTTACAAGTCAAAATAAATTTTAACTTTTATTAAAAATTTAAGTTTATACAGTAAAGTAAGATGGTTACAGTGAGCTGTTAATTGAAGAAAAGAATTTTTTTCATTAGTGTAGCTTAAGTGTTCCATGTTTATAAAGTCTAAGTAGTGTGCAGTGATGTCCTCAGCCTTCACACTCACCCAGAGCAACTTCTAGTCCAAAAAGCTCCATTCATGGGAAATGCCCTACACAGGTGTACCGTTTCTTTTTTTTATCTTTTACACTGTATTTTTACTGTATCCTTTCTATGTTTAGATAAATAGCACCATTGTGTTCACAGTTGCCTACACAGTAACATGCTGTACATGTTTGTAGCCTGGCTTTGTGTAAGTGTACTCTCTGTTTCCACTATGACAAAATCACCTGATGACACATTTCTCAGAAATTATCCCCGTTGTTCAGCAACACATGACTGCAACATAAATGCTATGCAAATAGTTGTTACCCTATGTTGTTTAGGTAATAATGAGAAGAAAAATGTCTACATGTTCGATATAGACACAACCATTGTAGGCCTAACCACATAGTGCATACGCATCAGCAACAACTTTAGTACTTTTTTTCCCCCCTGAATATTTTCTGTCCATGGTTGGTTGAATCCATGGAAGCTGCAGGTGCAGAGGGCTGGCTGTATCTACAGACCCACAAGACATCTCCCTTAACTATGATGACATTATCTTGTGTGGATTGCCTACTTTGTTCTATTTTCAAGAAAATTGTCCTGACTAGATGAGTAGTTTGGGTAAATTTTCTAATATTCCTTTTACAACCCTGAAATAAAAGTCGTCATAGATAGCTACTTTTATTTCTTTTTATTGCAGTGTATGTTTTTGGTATGTAAATACCTGTTTTCAGCTTAGAAGAACTTGAGATGCCCTGTGGTAGCCAGTACTGCTCCTGCTGAGAATCACTGTTCTAGACTTTGCCCACCTTTCCTGTTTTTCTCTGTCAATTTTCTAAATTCCTCCACCAATTTTTTGTCTGTCCCCTTAGAACCTTAGGGTTTGAAATTTAATCATGTTGGAGAAGAAAACTAGTGATGGCCCTGGAACTGTTTGTGTGATGCCTGTTTGACAGATGGACATTATAACCAGCCATTAATTCCCTAGGTGTTCCTAATATTCACCTAGCTTCTAAGGTCAGTTTTCAATCACATGCCTTGAGTAGCTTTTGTAGTATTCTTGGGTTTGTGTGTGAGTTTTTGTTTGCTTTAAAGATTTAAAATTGTCCTGTTCACATAAATATTCTCATGTTATGATACTCCAAGCTATATGTCTTCTTTGGTGCATACATTGCTCCATGGATCAGCAAGGAGCCAACAGTCAGTAAGCCAGTCAGTCTAGTTCATTGTAACCTTTGTTCCTTTTGTCATTAAACACTAGAACTACTATTGAGCCCTTTCTCACTCATATGTAGTAACAGTGTGAAGAGGGTGGGGGAAGTCAATAATGGTCTGGAAATCTATTTCTCTTCCAGCGGTTCTTGCTCATAGTACCATCACCTTTACCCCAATCTCCAAGCTAAAAACTCAGATCATGCTCTACTCCTCCCTTCCTTCTAACATCCATTTATCCCGTTTTCCCCATTTTACTTCAAGACAGATACCAGATATACTCTGACATATATAATTCTGGTTTGGACTTCTGGAGTAGCTTTTTTTTTCTAACTAACTGGACACTTCTTGGCATCAAACTTGCCATAATAGCAGCCACTAGGTTTTAACATCCAATAAATCTTATGGTGTCACATTCTTCTACTTAAAGCCGTTGCTGGCTCCTCTACCTATAATGATTTAGCACCTATTTTTTATCCTCGCACACAGCCATGTTGCCTATGCTCCAGCCAGTTTGAATTCAGCTTGACTTGAATTTACTGGTTGCTGGTTTTACCCATGTCTGACCTTCTCTACCTGGAACATCTGTCATTTTCTAGTAAATTCCTTTTTAAGAGCTAGGGCAAACGTTGCCTCCTTTAACTACTTCTAAAGTCCTGAAGTAAATATTTCAACTATATCAACAGTTTGACGAGTAATTATTGATCTAAAATGGTGTCTAATATGAGGTGAAAGGGGATAAGAGCAATTTTAGGTTCATGATAATATTGAGCAGAAAACAGTTCCATATACTCTGTACCCATACATGCATGAAGTCCCCACTATCCTGCACCAAAGTGATAACATTTCTTACAGTTGATGGATCTACATGCATACATCATTATCAGCTATATTCCATAGTTTACATTAGAACTCACTCCTGGTGTATATTCTGTGGGGGTTTTTAGTGGTCATTTTTATGACTGCAAGGAGAATTGGGAATTGGAAATGGTGATGAGGAAATGATTGAGGCTGAAGCGAGAAAGAAGAAAGCTAGTAATTAATGGAAGGAAATATTTGTGGTCGCCTACTTAAGTTAGTAACTTTGCTCTAGAGGTAAGAGTGGGGCATGCTGTAACATTGGAAATGTTTACTAGGATAAGGAGTGACAGAATATATGTTGCTAGTCACCTTCACCGTCTTAATGGCTTAGTAGGTCACACTTTGGTTTTGTAATCTTTGTTTTATCTTTCTACAGGTGGTGAGGTGAACAGCTGTTGGCAACTGCTTAGTCCTTAAAACAAATTGTAGTAGCTTACTAGCTTTGTTTTCATTGTTTCTATTTTTTAAATTTCCTAATGGCTGGTTTGCGGCCAGAAAGTCTCTAATAATAGGAAAAATAGAGGGAGATGCATAAAATGACCCCAGCGTGTTCTTAATCTTTGGCAACATGAAATGTATTTCATTTTCTAACCTGTTCAACTTGGTTCTCTGTCTTGCAGGAATGACACCAAGGAAGATGTATTTGTACACCAGGTGAGTGCTTATGTGGATATTTATACTTCTGGCTCAAGGCTTTTGAGAAAAAGTGGATGTTTTCCCATCTATTGTTCCTTACAAAAATGTCTTTGAGTCCAACCACCTTTAATTCCTACAAGAAGAGTGATGACTGCTAAAATGTATACATTGAAACATTATATTGGCAGATTGCTAAATTAAGATAGCTGTTTCATATTGGTATTTTGTTAATAGTTGTAGCTTTTTAAAATAGTGAATCACTTAAGTCATTACAATAAATTTTCAAGCCTAGTTTCAGATGAGTGAAAAACCCCATTAACCTAAATTTGAACTAATGTTGCCAAAAATACACAGAAACTTGAAGATGTTTTCAAATGTGGTTAGGTTTGCCTTTATGATAAGGACAAATTACAGTAACCATGGGGGAAATAGTACAAAGCTGCAAGACATTAATTTGAAGTGAATGTTAGAAAACTAGCAAAGTAACATAGGTCTTTATTTATTTTCTAATGCATTTTGAATGAGTCAGGTATGTTTTCACCTTTGGAGAATTTTTACTGGCTTGGAAAATTTAGAAGTCCTCACCAGTTTAAAGTTAAGTGAAAAGGCAGTGTGGCAAAGTTGGTAATTACTCAAATAATTTAGATTGACTTCAGTGTTTTGAGAGGAAAAAACTAACAGGGTAAATTCTACATGCTGAACTTTTCTCAAGTACCGTATAAGGAAACTATTTTGAAAAATGAGCATTAAGGATTTTACTGTTAAAATAAGCCATTGCACAATGAACATTATCTCAGTATCCCAAAAGTTATATCACAGGCTCCACTGGATTTCATTTTCCTCATGGGTGTGCAGTGGGTGGGGTGTATGTATACTTATGTGCTCTGTGGTTTGTTTCACTACGACCATTAAAATATTGTTAGCTTGTATTGAAAATCACTCTTAAGAACTTTTTAACCACTTTTTTTTTTTTTTAACTAATTCAGACATCAAAAGGCTAAAGTAAGTTTTCCAAACTCACACCTTTTTTCAGGCCATGTGAGCTTGGACGGCAGCATACTTCAGAAGGGCTGTCTTAGGTTGGTGCTTTGTAGCTCTCTTGAAGTGTCATATATAACATTCACTGGCAATCAAGAGGGAGGCTAAGTCAATTTCTGGTACATCCAAAACCCTATCAGATAATCGCAGAGTCAAATATAAGTGTGGAAACGTTTACATTCTAAACATAAGTACAGGACTGCTCAGACAAATGTTGTTTTAAAATATGTCTCTTTTATAAAATTGAATACCAACCCTTACCTGTTCTTTATTTCCCTTTGTGTTCAAAGGAATATGCAGACTTAGTAACAAGAGACAGCAAACAAAGCTTTTGTCAGCCTTGGCTGCCTGGTAGCAGCACTAAAGGGTTTGGGAAGATTGGGGAGGGTGTTGAAGGTGCTGACTGAAATAAGAGTGTGGGGATTTTAATTATCCATACTTCTGCTATCCCCTATGACTGCAGGTAATTTAGAGTTGGCTATATATGAAAAGGTATGAAAACTTTGTGACAGTTTAGATGACAGATGAGATCAATTATTTGGCTGAATATGTGTCACCCACTTGTACTGACCTATGGGGTTTCACCAATATGCTTTCCTCTTTATTTTGTAAGTGGTTTCAACATCTAGTTGTTTCTTGGGGACTTTGGCTGCTCAGGTCTTGGTGTTGTATCAAGGAGACTGCAGTTCCTGGGCAACTTCGTTTTATTAGCTTCAGATTGTTGGTTGTCCTGCCTCCTTTGGGAATGGAAACGCATGAGTGATCCTGTAATGCATACTGCTGTGATGTAGGAGAATGAACATGGGATTTGGAGTCCCAAGACCTGGATTTAGAAAAGTTCACGCTCTGCCACCTTATTTATCTGTGTGACCTTGGGCAAGTCACCTAACTTCTTAGCGCCTTTATCTGTGTTAAAAAAAGGGGGGAGAGTGATAACACCTTATATCATCTGTCATAATGAGATTGAATAGGTAATGTATGAAAGAACTTGGTAGATATTACACACAAATGTGAGGTGTTCTTCTCCCCTTTTACTTTGTCATAGCAGTCTGGAAAATAAGTAAATGTGAGCTTTATTATATTGTGGGGAGGTAATAACCAACTGTCCCATGCAGTCACATAATATAAAAAGTGGCGTAGTTAATAACGTGTGAATTGCATTTCCATTGTAGCAGTATCACAGGCAGGTTCAAAGGGATTTTGGTTGACATTTGTAATCAAGTTTGATACAGTAACACAGGGACATAGTTGGTTTGGTCAACTTTGAAGCATGCAAAACTAAACTCGCCTGTCATCTAAACTGGCCCTGTGTGGGGCTAGCTTCTACTATTAAGTGCAGTCTTTGGGGGATAGATGGATATCCTCATTTTGTTCAAAGCTACATATAATGCTTTTGCCAAAAGCATTTAAAATATATACATATTGTGTGTTGTGTTAAATTACTTGATTTAGTTTGGAAATAGTGGTAAAATGCTGGGGCCTTGTAAGATTGAAGTATTTTGGTAGAGGTTGGGGATAGCATTGGTCCCTGTTTTCCTAAATTTATTGATGGTTTAGTCTTACTTAAAGCTAATTTTAAGTGTATATCCAAGCTAAAATAATATTGACTCTGGTACATTTTAAATGAAAAAGCACATTATTCTCCCCTGTTAATCTATTTTTGGAATGTGATATTACTAGACTGCCATAAAGAAGAATAACCCCAGGAAGTACCTTCGCAGTGTAGGAGATGGAGAGACTGTGGAGTTTGATGTTGTTGAAGGAGAAAAGGTGAGGATGCTTTTTGTGTAAAGGTTTGACTTCAGTGTGGAAATGTTTTGGAGATCTCATCCACTAGGATGGTGGCTTTAATGTGGATGGATGGGTCAGGTGACTACATGAACACAGGTGCATCAAGCCTAATGTGCTGGCTGCAGTTAGAGGGCAATCTCTTCAGAACAGTGAGGAACTAATATTTAATCATTTCTATGCACCCCTGGCCACATAGATCCTTTTTTATTTGCTTTGTGTAAATTTGTTGAGTATACTTAATTCCATTGTCACTGTCAATATATCATGGCTTTTGTAGGGTGCGGAGGCAGCAAATGTTACAGGCCCTGGTGGAGTTCCAGTGCAAGGCAGTAAATATGCAGCAGACCGTAACCATTATAGACGCTATCCACGTCGCAGGGGTCCTCCACGCAATTACCAGCAGAATTACCAGAATAGTGAGAGTGGGGAAAAGAACGAGGGATCCGAGAGTGCTCCCGAAGGCCAGGCCCAACAGCGCCGGCCCTACCGCAGGCGACGGTTCCCACCTTACTACATGCGGAGACCCTATGGGCGTCGACCACAGTATTCCAACCCTCCTGTGCAGGGAGAAGTGATGGAGGTAAGTCTCACCAAAAAGTAAAAGGATCAACAACAGCATGTGGTAACTTTGGATAGTACTGCATTTTAAGCATTTTCTTACTGACTTCCCTGTATTGGAGCCATTAATCATGATGGGAAGCACTTTTTAACAACCAGAAGGATTAATAATTGATAATATCACAGTTACTAGATGATTTTATTTTATTTTTTTAAGATTTTATTGGGGAAGGGGAACAGCCAAGTTGTTGTCCTTCAATCTTAGTTGTGAAGGGCGCAACGAGCTCAGCTCCAAGTCCAGTCGGCAGCTCGCGGCCGCTCAGCTCAAGGTGCCGAGTTCAATCTTAGTTGCAGGTGGGTTACGCCCACCATCCCATGCAAAGAGTTGAGCCAGCAACCTTGTTGTTAGGAGCACGTGCTCTCACCAGCTGAGCCATCCTGCCACCTGTTGGCAGCTCAGCTCTGGCACAGCTCACTGGCCCATGTGGGAATCGAACTGGTGGCCCTGTTGCTCAGAGCTCGCGGTCTTAACCAACTGAGCCACTTGGCTGGCCCAATTGTATTTATTCTTAACTCTTGCATTCAGACTTTGGATTTTCTGGTTGGGTTTTTACTGTTACTGATCCATGATCCAGTCAGCTTGATTTCCATTGTCTTTTCAGGGTGCTGACAACCAGGGTGCAGGAGAACAAGGTAGACCAGTGAGACAGAATATGTATCGAGGCTATAGACCACGATTCCGCAGGTATGGTTTGTATTAAAACTTTTCCTGAGCATATTTTAGGACTCAGCATCATGCTTCTGCAGTCTATTTGAATCATTTTTCTGGTAACACTTCATATTTTTTTTCCATCAAATGCCTAAGAGATGAACCTGAAGTCAATTACCTTTGAGAATGTGTTCTGTGCATCTTTTTTGTTGGCACTGGTTAAAAACAGCTTGCATAGATGAGGGCTACTTCATACAGGGTTTGGTTTTTCTTCTTTAACTGAGGGTATGGAATTTCAAATTTTCAGTCCTTGAACAGGTAAGAGAATAGGTTAGCCCTCCATCGGGCGTAACTGATGTCATAGATTCATTGCACACAAATTTTCAAATACCTAACAGTTAACTCACGTATCGTGACTCATCGCTCCCGTATCTTCCCCCTCTACCATAACCTATCGCCAGTCGGGTTTGTGACTTAGTACAGTAAGAGGTATTTCATAGCGGCATCTTTTGTGTGCAGTGAATCTGTGGGATCAGTTGCCCCCGATGGAGGGTTAAACTGCATTATATTATATCTTTAAGATTCGCTTCTTTGGGAGGGAGGAGGCAAAGTAAGCATTATAGTTTAAGCATTAGGAGTATCTGAATTGTACCATATCATACATGAGAATTGACAGTTTTACCTCTGGAGGTAGCATAATTTTCCGTTAATCATTTCTCTCAGTTTAGGTGTCTACTTTTTGATATCCCTAAGCTGCAAAATGTAATCACTCCATTAAGTATTTACATTTTGGGGTGAAAAAATCTAGTTCCAGGCTTGAATTAAACAACTAACCTACCTACTTGGGTATTAGAGAATCCTTTTTTTTTTTTTAAGATTTTATTGGGGAATCGGGGGGAGGGGAACAGACAAGTTGCTGTTGTTTTGTTCTTCAGTCTAGTTGTAGAGGATGTTGCTTCACTGGCCCAAGTTGGCACCATCATTGCGCTCTTCTCTGGCGAGGCAGCTCAGTCGCTGGCCTCTGGACAGCCACTCATGGCGGCTGCTGGCTGCTCACGCTGGCTGCCAGCTACACACGGTAGCTTATGGCAGCCCACTGCAGCAGGGGCTGCAGCCCACGCCATTGCCGGCGACCCACGGTAGCCCAGCTCCAGGTCCAGCTGTTGTTCAGCATCTTAGCTGTAGAGGGCAGTGTCATTGGCCCTCATATGTGGGATCCAAACCGGGGACCTCTAGCACTCCAAGCCAGTTCTTAACCAACGCGCCACTCGGCTGGCCCTAGAGAATCCTTTTTAACAGAAGATGTTTAATTATTAGAATGTAGAGTAATTGGGGGAGAGTTCCATCAGCCAGACATGTTTAGTACATAAATGTGTAGTACACTTGGAAGCAATATTCTCAGTCTTGGCAATGGTAGAATAGAATGACACCATTCTATTAACTGTTACACACAGTTACTTCTTTTAAGGGTCTTACTTAGATCAAAGCATTGAGCCTCCAGATGTGATTTTTTTTCTTTGTTTGTATGCTTACCAAAGATGGAGCATTCAGTGAAGCTTTAGTAACTAGGGAACCCAGTTGAGATTATACCGCCTACATCAGTGTGTGTACAATTTGAGCTTTGTAATAGCCAGTATCTATAATGGTTTTTTGGTTTGGTTTTTTTCCTTAACTTTCATTGATGTATGTCCTGTCTTGGGCTGTTCATTAATGAAATGGGCTGGAGTGCTAGCTGGTTAACTAAAATTAGAGATTTCTAATTCTCAGACCACCAGGAGATTGTGCTAGCCATGTGATGCATGTTGGAAATCAATGGGGCCTCCGTTGTCAGTGGGAAAGACTAAAGATTTTTATTGGGGAATTGGGGGATGGGAACAGCGCTGGGGAATTTGGGGACGGGGAACAGACAAGTTGCTGTCGTTTTGTTCTTCAGTCTAGTTGCGGAGGACATTGCTTCACTGGCCCCAGTTGGCATCATTGTTGCACTCTTCCCGAGCGAGGCAGATCATTCGCCAGCTTCTGGACGGCTGCTCACAGCGGATGCTGGCCGCTTAAGCTGGCTGCTGGCCACACACGGTAGCCCATGGCAACCTACTGCAGTAGGGACAGCAGCCCAGCTCCAGGTTGAGCTGTTGTTCAGCATCTTAGCTGTAGAGGGCAGTGTCACTGGCCCTCATATGTGGGATCTGAACCGGGCCCTCTGGCGTCCCAAGCCAGCTCTTAACCATCAGGCCACTCGGCCGGCCCGGAAAGACTATTTTTCGTGCTGACAGATTGTTGGGCTTTTGATCTTGAACTGAACTATGGTTCAAATTTTTAAACCTAGACATAGATAGATACCTTTCGAAATACATTAAAACCACAATGCCATTTTTTAAAACAGTGATAAATGTTTTTCAAGCAAATCTAAAATAGGCTTATGGCAGTCTATCCATTACATCCATGAGTACCAACAGCAGAATCCTTGGTTTGCTTTTATTGCACTGTAGAGCTGCCTAAATTTTCTGCCTAGTTTCATGGGTGTCCTTAAAATTAAAGATCACATGCGTTTTTGTTGTTGAGTGCTTAAGTTTTACTGTTTGCCTTTTGGTTTATGTTGACTTAATAGTCTCATTTGAATGGATAGACTAGTTGACAGTGCCATATTATTGTTATGGTGACATATTGCCTTGAAGTTTACAATGAATCTATCAATGAATGCAGAGCTTTCCAAACGTGTAGCCAGGATTTTTTTTTTCTTCAAATGAGTAGTAAATGACATACACTACCTATAATGAGTGGGGTGAAATCCTAATTGATGTAAGTCCAAGAGAAAATTGAAAGAAATCTGAGACAAATATTAGCAATTTTGTTGGAAAAAGAAAAAAATGAGGTGGCAGTAAGGGGAAAATATGAAGAAAGAATTTTTGCTTATGAGTATTAAGAGCATATTTGTAGACTGAAAAAAATGGAATAGAAAAGGACTGTTGGAAGGAAGGTGACTGCTGAAACATGAATTCGGATAGGATTTTGTCCACAACTATGAGGTTGGTCTTTCACTATGAACCATGGCTGTTTCATGTGTAAGAAGCCAGAGTACTTGGGCATCGGTTCATTAGTGGAGTCAAAAGGAGAAGTGAGAGGAGGTTTGGGGAGTGTGGAACAAGGATTGTGAAATTATCTCTGAAAGAGAAATAGAGGAAATCAAATAGAGTAGTGATCACAAATTTAAAGTGCTCACGGTCATGGTTGTATTTTTCTAGTCATTTTGAGCAGCAGGCTCAGATTGGACAGAGCTGGATTTGTCCAGCATTTGTTATCTAAATAAAGGTGGTAGGGTTGAGGTTGATTATGATTAATTGGTGAGCTTTGTATTGAGGATAAAGAGAGAAAAAGATTAGGGGGTGAGTTAGGGACAGAATAGGTGACAGGATTATAGGTCCTAGTAGAAATATAGTATGGAAAAACAAGAGATAAACTGGGGAAGTAGGGAGTGATTAGAGACAGGAATGCTTGACATTGAGAAAACCCAGGTACAAGACAACTAGACGGAAGGGAAAGAATCTAAAAGCCTAGGTTATTTGGGGCTTTCATGATGACTACAACAGAAAAAGGAAAGTAAATTGAACCATTATAGCCTAACATAAGATTTGAAAGCTAGGGTTTTAGAAAGAAATGGGGAGAATTGACTTAGAAGCCACAGTTCTAGGGATGGGACAACCGCCACTTAATGGCTGCAGGGGAAAGCCACAGCAATTTTGCCAAAGACAGAACATGGGTTTCAGGAGTTGGGGAAAGGTAGGCATTGGGAATGGTAGATGGGAGATTGGGGCGTTCAGAGGTTGAAAATGGAAATGTAGCGTTCTAAATGGTATTTGGAGCCCATGTTGACCAATTAGGTATAAAGGGCATGAGATTAATCTTGGTGTTCCTGGGGCTTTCTGGGGTGCTGTGAACATGGGTGAAGGAGAGGCCAAGAAAACATCACTGTTGTCAACATTTATAATCACCAGCAAAAAGAAATCATAGTACCTCTTCCTTGGTGATTAAGTCCTAATACTGTCTTTGATCCTGATATCTTTAATTTTAGGCCATTGAAGATAATTGCTGGGGTATAACACTTGAACTTTTTTTAGTCACCAAATTATGCAGCCATTACCACTATCTTAATTCCAGACATTTTTCATTTCCCTCCCACCCTTAAAACGCTTAGCAGTCACGCCCCATTCCCTTCTACCTGGCCCCTGGCTAGCATTAATCTCCTTTGTCTCTGCATTTTCCAATTTTAGACATTTCATATAAATGGAATTATATAATATGTGGCTTTTTGTGTCTGGCTCTTTTCACATAGCCTATTTTAAGGTGCATCCATGTTGTAGCATGTATCAGTCAGTACTTGATTTCTTTTTATGGCCAAATTAAGTTCCATTTTATGAATATCACATTTTGTTTTATTAAAATCAGTTGATGGACATTTGAGTTGTTTGTTTTTTTAAAAACTTTTTTGTGGGCCAGCCGAGTGGCACGTTGGTTAAGAGCTGGCTTGGGATGCCGGCTCTGAGCAGCAGGGCCCCGGTTCAGATCCCACATGAGGGCCAGTGACACTGCCCTCTACAGCTAAGATGGTGAACAACAGGACAGCAACTTGTCTGTTCCCCTTCCCCCAATT